ACTACCATGAAAGTTGAAAGAGTATCCACAAGGTACAAGTTTAGAAACTAAAATTAAATTCCTAGAAAAACTAGGAATATAAAAGGTTCATTCCAAATCCAAAATATAATTAGTGCTTAAAATAAGTCTAAATGTTCCAATAGCTTCAACACGTGAAGGCATCCTGTTTCCCGAATAGATGCTGCATTCACTTCCCAACGGTTTCCTTTGATCCAGAAAACCCTTTATGGTATTAGAAACATGGATTGTAGAACCAGAATCAGTCCACCAATCATTATTTGAAACATAAATCATATTAGATTCATAACACACAAAAGATGTGAGGTTACCTTTCTTGTCAAGTCAGACCTTCCTTTTAAGACAATCCTTCTTCATGTGTCTCTTCTTTTTACAGAAGAAACACTTGATGTTGTCCTTATTTCCTTTGCTCGTAACCTAATGCAGCTTGCCTTTTCCCTTCCACTTCTTATTCTTGTTTGAAGTGTATTTGACCTTTCCTGTCACCAGGTGTGCAGTTTCATTCACTTCCTGAAGCAATATCTCCTCCTCTTGAACACACATGGTTAAAAGTTTATTGATTGACCATTTATTCCTTTGTGTGTTATAAGATATCTTGAAAGGAGTATAATGAGACGAGAGAGAGTTCAGGACATAATGAACCAGGAAATCATCATTAATCACCATCTGAAGGGATCTCAACTGAGCAGCGATGTCCCTCATTTTCATAATATGCTCACAAACTCCTTTAATACCGGTGAGTTTCATGGATGTCAATCTACTCATTAGGGTGCTACCTAATGCCTTGTTTGATATTTCAAATTGAACATGAATTGTATCCATCAGATCCTTGACATTTTCACACTCCGGTATCAACCCACGAATACTACTCGCAATGTGAGATTTGATAAACATCGTGCTTAAACGGTTGGATCGCTCCTACCGTTCATACAAAGCAACCTCGACCTGAGAACTAGTATCCGTAGATGTAGGTGGCTCTTTCTTACAAAAAGCATAGTCAAGATCAATGCACCCTAAATGAAGAAAAACAGCCTCCCTCCAGGATTTGTAGTTATCATCATTTAAATAAGTAACCTTATCCTCAACCATCATCAAAGTTTAATCAACTGTAAGTATATCAACAGACATGCTTACTAAATAAATTATGAGGCACAAACCATCAACAACAATTATAAGTTTACCAATGTAAAACAAATAATAAACCATAAATGAATCGATATATCATAAAATTTCCCTGTGGTTAAAGACATTACATATTATGATTCATTATCCATTAATGATGAAACTATAAATTATTAATATTTCATAATACCTGTGGGCTAATTAAGAAATAAGAATAATTTCTGTTTCATCCCTAATTAATCATGAAAATATAACATTCCATGTGGGTAAAATGATTATATTAATATGATTAACTAAAAAACGATGTTATTAACTTTAATATGATCATAATTAATATTACCTAATGCAAATATTATCACAACTTAGATGTTGTGGCTACTCTAAATTAATCAAATATATGCGATCATAAAACATCAAATAGTTATAACATGAATTATTGCATACAATACAACATAACATAAATCAATACAAGAATAACACATTATTTATACATAACAAAGTAGAGGTGGAAAAAACCGGTTAACCGGTATCTTACACCGAACCGAATTTCGGTTTCAAATTTTTTTTGAACTGAACCGAATTTTGGTTTCAAAAATTTTTGAACCAAAACTGGTCTGGTTTCGGTTATAATTATGATGGGCGACATTTGTTCGGCCCAATTCGGTCACAACCTCCACTTTGGCCCAATTCGGTCAAAACCCTTATTAGAAACATTTATTCACTTATATGAATTCGGATACCAAATTATATCACTCATTTACCTGGATTGAAGCAAACAACAATAGAACAATCCAATCTCACATGAACTAATATATATAAACAAAACACAACTTCACCATTAAAGATAGCAACTGCCTAATTAGAAAATTGTCAATATAAAACATATCCGAACCACATCCCATTTGTATTAAAACTGGAAGAATTTTTCTTGATGTAACCTGTGGATCCAATCACCTCTTCCTATATATACTCAATCACCACCTAATACAAGTACCCAAATATTAAATCAACTGTTAATTAAGAAAAAGGGAAATACTTATTAGAATAATAGCAATATTTACTACTATTTCTCTTTTTCTTTTTCCTTCATCAATTAATCAATCAAAAACATTTTAATTTTAATGTAGGCATGAGAAGGATGGTTGGCTGGTTGTTGGCCTTTCGTTCGCACCAAGAAATTCAAAGCAAAGAGATGAGGTCACGCACTGGAAACAGACGACGACGTGGAGACTGGAGCGACGACAGCGACTGCAACTGAGGTCACGCAGTAGGCACGCGTGAGGGACCTAGGAAACCCACATGGTGACGGTAGTGAGCCAGCAACTTGGTGAAGGAAGAAGAATGGTAACTACGATTGGTGACTGCCGACTGTTGAGCAAAAGATCGGTGAGCAAAGATCGGTGGCGTGAGCAACGTGAGAAATTTGTGTGGCTACTGGCTGAGGCGTTACCACTAGAGAACAGAGAATTGAGAACTGAGAGACAGTGAGAGTCCGAGAGAGATTGAGAGACTGAGTCACTGAGAGTCTGAGAGTTATTGAGGTGAGTGAGGTCTGAGTATCGTGAGGCGTGAGTAGTGGTGAGTTTAAGTTAGCCAGTTAGGGTGTTAGGGATTGCAAAATCAAAAACCAAATATGCATAATTTTTTCAAAAAGTTGGTTCAGAAAACCGGTTCTGGGTAGCTGGAATTAATTTTACGAAAAACCGAAATCGAACCGGATATTCGGTTTTTTAAATAATCGAATCGAAACCGAAAAAAAAAACTGGATTATTGGTCCGGTTTTCGGGTTTTTTTTTCCACCCCTATAACAAAGTAATAAATGACATAAAAACAATCATACGCGCTATCACCGACTCCCACACACCACCATGAATAAACTACGCATAGCCACGTATCCCCATGCGCCTCTAGAAGGCAACATGCTTCTACACGCACCAGAACACACCGCCTCCATGCGCCTGACGCAAGCATAAGCACCTTCACGTGCTCTCACATGCTCACACGCGCCATAAATCAACACGGGTCAGTTTGACCTGTTTGACTAGGTCGGGTTGAGCTTTTTACTTGGTTCGTTGACCCAGATTGACCCGTTGACTGGTTTGTTGACCCAACTGACATGTTGACCGATTCCTTGACCCGGTTTGAGTCGTAGACCATGCTGACCGAGTCGGGTTGACCCATCGGGTTTCTGGGCTAGTTTTATCGGGTCGGGTTGACCCATTTTGACCTTTGACGGGGTCAGTTTGACCCGTTTTATCCTTGACCATGTCGATTTGACCCGATTGGGCCGGTTCATCTTAACCCATTTTCTACAACTTTTGACCCATTTTATGCATATTTTAATAGCCCGATTCGGGCCATTTTTCCGGCATTTTAGAGAGGAAACTTGAATGTAGACGTATGACCTATGTCGGTGACATCCCAAATGACATTTTCATCCCAAATCAGTGCCGTAAATGGCTATCAAAAACACCCAAACGACAATTTTTAACTGAAACTTTAAACTAGCATAACTTTGTAACTATAACTCCGTTTTTGACAAATAATATATCATTGGAAAGCTTTTTCAACAAGGATTTCAATGACACCAAAATCGTAAACAGATTCTATTTATAATAAAAGTTATGCTTGATTTACAGTACGGGTTTTAATTGGAAAAATCCCAATTTTATGCAATATTCTCAAAATTTGCAACAATCAATTTCATGATAGGTAGAGATTCAAATAAATGGCTCCAATACCAAATGTAAGAACATGTATATTCCAATTTTCATATAGAAGTTCATAATATAATCAAGTATAATCATGTTAAATACTCATGAATATTGCGGAAGTAATTTGCAAACCTCTAGCCATAACAATTGTTGTTTTAGTCTTCTTGCTTCTGTCACTTCAGAATATAGAGTCTTCCACTGACTGCAATTTTCCAGAACAATAGTTTTTGAGAATCAAAACGAATTAATTGCGTCAAATGGGGACCTGTAAAATCTCCTTTATAAATGCAGTTGTCTTTCCAAGATACACAACCACATGTAGCAGTTACCCATTCACTTTATATTAATAGTGTAGAACCAATCCAATTAAAGAATTCTAATATAATTAAAATTCTAACATATGAAACTAGTTTTCCATCTGTACAACTTGATTTCCTTCCTTCGATTGGACACCTATACTATGTTTTTTACCTGGGAACGAAGGAAGCTGAGATGTGATAGGAATCCCTTCTTGTCGCCCTCGTTGGAGTTGTCGTTTACCCTTTCGCACCACCAATTGAAATCCTTCGTTATCAATGGATTCGGTATTGGTAGTTTCCATCTGGTTAGTCGGAGGGTCCGTCTTCGATCTTCTCGGGCAAGAAGCATTAGAATGACCAAATACACAACAGGCTTCACATTGCGAAGAACACCACTGGTAATCTATTCTAACTTCCAAAAAATTGGCAACATTCATCTCTTCAGTCGGCAATTTCACTTAATACACTCTGGGAGTTTTTTTGCAGCATTAACCTCAATCAAAATCCGAGCAAAAATAATGCGTCCTTTCCCGTAAATGCAAGTGTCCTCGGCCTAGTTAGTAAAAACGCGTATTATACGCGAATTGTACGGACAGCCATATAATTCGCGTATAAAACGCCCGTATACGTATTTTCTAAAATCTGCCGAATTATACGCGTATTTTAAGCCCTCGCGAATTATTCGCGAATTATTGAAAAAAAAAAAACAAAAAAGGTCACCCCCAAAACGACGTCATTTTGTGGGTTTTTTTTACTAAAAATTAAAGCAGATCTCAGTCTTCAGTTCTTCACTTCTTCTTCGTTCTTCCTTACTTCAGCTCTTCTTCAGCTCTTCTTCCTCAAATCTTCACGTTTTCAGCTTTTCTTCATCTCTTGTTCTCTTTCTAAATGTGAGTGTATAAATAACTCCGGCCTTCACATTCACACTCTGAGAAATTGAAGCTTCGTTGCCTAGCCTTACCGCATGAACACCACGAGGCACCGCGAAGTAAAACCCACCCGGCTGAGGTCCCCCCGAGATGTACTCCACTAAGCCTTCTATTTCCCATTTGGGCAGCGAGTATTTGCCTATGATCACCGTTTTGTTAAGGTTTGATTTCTTCGGCCCTTGTTCAAAGTCGCCATTTGGAAGTAATCCTACAAAATATTGTAATATTGCAACATAAATAATGACATTTCAGTTACATATTCAAGCTGAAACTGAAATCATTAATGACTTACCGTCAAGATATTTAGTACTAGCTGAAGTAGCTGCAGGAGCACCATCGGAGAGAGAGAAAATGAGAGCAATTAAGCAAAAAGAGAGAACCCAATTAGCCATTGTTTCGATGTGGTAGAAGCAGCTAGAAATGGGTTTAATTATATATAGAATGAAAAAGTCCACAAGTGGGAACAAAAGAGAAGATAAGAAAGAAGCCACGTTATAGGGCCACTAAATTAGCCGTGAGATGTGTCTTAACGTCATGTATTTTTCCAAATCTTAGTCTCAGAATTCGACAAAAAAAATTAAAAAAATTCTTGATGTTTGTGTTCGATCCCACTTGACTCTTCATTGGTTGCCGTGATTTGCTCTCAATTTAAGTTCAAAATGAGGAAGATTATATTAATCTAGAATCACATTTCTCGGAACATGTTGACAATTATGGCATAGTAATATTAAAGTTAAGAATATTATCAATCTATAGTTGATATATAGTTGAATCTTGACTAAATATTATGTTTGAGTCTGGAGACTATAATTTAAATATCAGTTATGTATTATGTATTTGTGTTATTGGTTAATTGAATACTTTACATTTGAAATGTTATGTTGATTTTAACCAGGTAGTCCATAAAAGTGTTAAAACTAAGATTGATATTGCCGTATTTTTCAAAACGTATTATTGACAATGCACCGTATTAAAACCGTATATACCCGTAACGTATTTTTACCGTAACCGAATTTTATGGCCGAATTTTTATAAACGTATTTTTCACCGTTTGCCGTATTATACCCGTAAAATTCCCGTACCGTTTTTTTGCCGTACCCGTATTTACTAACTAGGACGATATCAGACATAACATTTATAGTAAATCTATTGCCAATATTTAGTTCTACACCAACTTGTAGACATTGGAATGCGATCGAACATATCTTTCATTACCTAAGTGGAACAGAAGACTTAAGATTAGTTTATTCAAAGAAATCTATTAATGATTAGAAATTAGTTGGCTATACAGATGTCGGGTACCTTTCTGAACCCCATAAAGCTCGCTCGTGCATGGAATATGTTTTTACTTACAATGGCACTAAAATATCATGGAACTCTAGAAAAAAAGAACATTGGTTGCCACTTCTTCCAATCACTCTGAGATTTTTGCGCTTCATAAGGCCAACCGAGAATGCATATGGTTAAGATCTATCATCCATCATATCAAGAATACTAGTAAGTTACCATGTACCTCGGATACTCCTACAATTACAAATGAAGACAATACAACATGTATTGCTCAAGTTAGAGGTGGATATATCAAAGGCGACAAAACTAAACACATTTCATTGAAATTCTTTTACACTTATGAACTCCAACAAAATCGAGAGATTGATGTCAAACAAATATGTTGAACCCTTATGTTTTTGATGTGCCAAAGCTATTCAAAAGTGTGTTTTAAGAACTAACAAATTGCAAAGGTATAATGCAAGTCATAACGATAAAATGAAAATACAGATTTCCAGGTAGGAAAGACCATTTACGTTAAAGGAACGCCCTCTCCATTTCATATTAAGACCATTCCACTTGAACAACCTCGTTTCCTCTAGTTGCTCATGGCTTTGCCCAAATTAGCACAATTTCTAGTCAAGCCGGTCCATCATGAACGCCCGTTCCATCAAGCTATTCTACAAATATGAAGTATATTTAAAGGCTGATAAATCTTGAAGAATTAAAGCGAAACGACCATCCATGGCAACAAATGACTGCTCTCCTAGCCGTTCCATCAAGAACGGCACCATTCCATTAGGCTATTCGTGGATCTGTCCAAAATGGCACACTTTGAAGATCTAAAGCAAAAATCAAAGTGTTAGATACAAATGCCTGTTCTCGATTGAAGAACAACCGTTCTTCAATATGACCTAGCCAATCTAGAAAGAACGACATCATTCAAACAAGCTGTTCACGTCTCTTGAATTTTTGGAAATCTGATGATCAAGAAAGGAATGACCGTTCTTGATATATGAACGGCCGTTCAATTGTAATGAACACTCGTTGTCAGAAGAGGAACAACTAGTACCAAATAAAGGTGGAAAAGTGGCCTGNACAAACTCATAAGATTCGTGTCTTTTTTCATCAGAATAAAAAACATAAAAAAAAGTTAAACAAGATTCAATCTTAAAATAAACTAAATTAAAATAAATAATATATATACCTAAAACTAATAAAGCAGAAAATAGTGTGACACCTTGAATATTCAAAGGTTGAACTATTTGGGTCTTCAAAAGTTAACTCCAACTGAGCGATGAAGACAAAGAGACACACTCACTAAATAAAATTAGGGATACAAAAAGCTGTGGAGATTAATTAGCTGTATATATAAATATATTTATAATAATGAAACTGTTAGGCCAACATAGTCGCAATATTTATGATTGGTGGGTCTAACATTAACCTATTATAACAATTACTTTGATTGTGGGCCATATATATTTATACCATTTTGATATAAAAACAATTAATTATAAATATTGTTATGCCTAAAGAATGCATTCACGTGTGTCTTCTGAGCCAGCTCAGCATTTCACACATGTGTTTCGTTGGTGTCAAAATCACGCATCAACAGTTTGGCGCTAGAAGGAAGGCCTGATTTAGTGTTCATCCTTCATTAGGAGAATCTCTAACTTACTGGTCCTACAATAGCAAATGGCCCGCCAACCTGAACCTGAGCGAACCAACCAGGGTGCTAAAGGGATACCCCAAGTCTAGGAGGACACCTCTTCCGAAATACCTTCGGTTTCGCAAAATGCCACAGGGGATATCCCATCAAGTTCACAACTTGACCCTGTCATTAGAAGCTACCTAGAGAGGTTCGACAATACTCTCCAGATGGTTAACCGAAGGTTGGACCGTTTGGACCAAGGCGTGCCACCCAAATCAGCTGGGCGGTACAATCGCCAAAAACGCCTGTAGGTCAAGTGAAAGCGCGGTAAAGGGAGATAGCCTGTGCCGCGAGCACTGCAGTGCGTCGACGAAAGGGTAAGCAAGTGGCAAAAAAGGGGCCTACGGGTTCCAAAGGGCCAGCGAACACCAACCGCGTCCCGAGCAGAATACCAATGGCATTAAGACTCGATGAAAGGACGCAGCTCGAGCTGTCCCATGCCACGTCGCAGGTACACCCCCATAAAAGTGCTGGGCGGGGCAATTCTTATCACCGCCAGTAAAACGATCCTGATCGTCATCGTGCGGGAGGTTCCCACACTTCGCGGGGAAGTTCGGACCACCGCAAAGGTCGTGAAAATACCCCTCATCATTCATCGCCATCACAAACCTCTAGCTAGCGTGTGTCGAGAGCGGCCGAGGCCGTCGACCGAGGCGAAGAGGAATCCAACCTCCAGACTCTCCTCAACCGTAATCGCGAGAGTCGAACTCGCATGGGTGAAAGCAATCCCCAAGTGGCTCCATTGCCTTAGATTGAAGAACTGCAGCGAGTTCTAGACCGACTAAGAGCTCAGCAAAACGAGCAAGGGCAGGTCGCGTATGTGTCCCCCTTTTCTCCCGAAGTGCTAGCCGCTCCACTCCCATCAAGATTCAGGATGCTCGACATGCGGGCATTTGATGGAAATTCTGATCCGCAGGATCATTTATATGAATTCAACGACCTGATGGAGCTTCACCAGGTCTTAGATTTAGCAAAATGTCGTTGTTTGGCAGTGACTTTAACCTCTCATGCCAAACGGTGGTTCAGGTCGCTCCCAACGGGATCAATCAGTTCGTGGCCTTAGATGAGCGCGGCGTTCCTAAGGCATTTCCAAGCGAACCGAAAGTTCTCAATACCTTTGAGCTACCTCAGCAATATAAGGCAAGAAAGGGACGAATCCCTCCAGTCTTACATCGACCGATTTCACAGAGAACTCAACAAGGTAGCTTATACTCTCGAAGAGTCTGTTTAGACTCTCATTATAGCGGGAGTTCGTCCACAAACCGACTTGTGGAAAGAGTTACAGGCTGAGGACGATGTTTCCCTCACCTAATTCTATAACCTTGCGGAGAAGTACCTCCGGATTGAAAATTTAGTGGCGGCACTCCACCGCTGCAACCCCGGCGCCTCAGGTAGTACGTCTAGTCGGGGGGAAAGTAGGAGAACTGATCGCAGATGGGCTACTGATGATCAGCGAAAAGCAAAGAAACCTCGCTACAAGCCCAAAGAGTCTTATGCTCTTGTCCCTCGTCGGGATCGTGACAGAGATCAATATACGCCTCTGAATGCATCTGTATCGGCTATTCTTAACAAATCATAAGAAGCCAGCCTGCTCGGAGAGCCTGAGGCCATGAAAACTCCCGCGTCAGTCAGAAATAGTAAAAGTATTGCCGCTTTCATCGGGATAACAGGCATCACACTGATGAGTGCCGAGCTCTCAAACATGCAATCGAAGAACTCATCAAGAAAAGGGCATTTCAAGGAATATATTAACAACTCTACTCCCGCGCAAGAGAAAAGTCAAGGGGAACAAGGAAAGAAGCGTCGTGATCGCAAAGGCATATGTAGTGTCAACATGATCTTTGGAGGGCTGCACCTCGCAGGGAGCACGCGAGGTGCCCAGGAAAGATATGCTCGCGCAGCTCATCACGACCCTATCAGTGTGATGAGCACGATACAGTGACCACAAAAGGTTCTTAGGGAGGAGGAAATTACCTTCTCCGAAAAGGATGCAACCCATTTGCATCATCCCCACGACGACGCTCTTATGATCACGCCCCTCATAGGGCGCCATAACGTTTACAGAATGTTGGTGGATAACGAAAGTATTGTGAACATCCTGTTCTTGACTGCTTTTGAAAGAATGAACTTGGACAAGGCCGACCTAAAGCCCGCCTCGATCCCCCTATATGGTTTTACAGGGGACCACCTGATCCCCAAAGGGACGATCTTACTTCCAGTCACGCTAGGTAACTATGACAAAGTGACCAAGGTTACTGAATTCTTGGTAGTGGATTGCCCATCTGCTTTTAATGGAATCCTAGGGCGACCTCTACTGAGAAACTTCAAGGCAGTCACTTCGATATACCATCTGAAGATGAAGTTCCCCACCCCGACGGGGATAGGGGAAGTTAGCGGATCTTAGAGCGTATCTCGCGACTGTTACGTAAAAGTAGTGTAGATGGTGTGCA